GCTATCCAGTCCAGTCCCATCACTGCCCTCACAATCTGACCCCTCCACAGCCCTCAGTCTCTGCCCTGCCTGCTGTGTGCCCTGCCTCCCAATTCAGGTTTTTCCAGGAATTGAATTAACATGCTGTTTACTTCCTCCTTCCAGATCATCAATTAAGATGTTAAGTAAGATCAGGCTTAAGGCAGCTCTTGTCCAGACCCTTCCACCCATCCTGGCACTCTTTGCCCCTGACATGGCTTTTTCTTGGGGTTTCCATTCCTGTGACAGGGTTGAGCCTCAATTAGGAGAAATTTTTAAAATCAGACTTCCTGAGATGCAGTCTCAAATGGCTTAACAACATCTAGAAATCTCTCTCTTGTGTCCCTGTCATCTATTAACTTGGTAACTCAATCAAGTGGAGCAATCACATTTGTCTGGCTTGATTAAGTGGTGCTTCTTTGCCAGCTTTTGTCTGGCATGGCTGTAAAACCCCAGCTGTGTTGACTGCTGCAATCTCTGCCTGAGGGGCTCAATCCCAGCCTCTCCCTGCACCACTCCAGGGGCTCTGCATTTGAGCCCTAATTCCATCCAAGCCCAGCACAAGCCATCCTTGCCCACTCAGGTTTCCTGACACAGAGTGGGCTGACCCTCCCAGCTGGGGTGATGCATGTGCTGGAGAGTCCTTCTCTTCCCAGGGTGGATGTGATCAGAGCTGGATCTGGCTCTGCAAACATTTCTGCAGGCCTCCCTCCCTTTGAAGCTGAGCTTTCCTCTCTCAGCTTGGCTCAGAGAAACCCTGTGGATGCAGCCTGGAGTGGCCTCAGTTCCCCCTTTCCTACAGGAGCAGGGATCGCTTACACCCTAGCAGGGAACTGATGAAAAATGATGCCCCAGCATGAGCAGGGCCCATTTTGGTTAAGCAAACAGCTGGTAGAGGAAACTCCTCCACAAACCTTCCACACCTCCTAAGAAAACACTGGAGCTCTCCCATAGGATCAGGCTCTGAGCTATCCTCCAAGCCAGCACATCCCTGAGTTTATAAATCTGCAGCCCTGGGATGAGCCAGATTCCTGTGAGTTGTGCTGAACTCTGGTAGATGTCACCTGGACACCCCACAGCACCAAGCACCCCAGCTGGCCCTCTGGCCCCAGCCCCTGGTCTCTAAAACTCCTCCTGGTTTAGCTGAGCCTGGCCAGGCAGTGGGAGCATCAGGGAAGGATGTCAGTGAGAAGGTGTGCTGGGGTCTGGGCTGGCTGTTTGGCCCTGCCACAGAGGGCAGATTTGCCCCCATTTCTCTCTGATCTCCAGATGATCAGGGTCTCAGTGGACATCACTCAGGGGTGGAGTAAGAAGTGGATCTAAGACTCGGAGGATTTGGTGTCAAATTGTGCTGTTCCACGGCAGTTCAGCAAAGGGATAAGGCAGGATTGCAAGGGAGAATCCTGATACTCCCCCTTTGACTCCCCCAGGTGTGGGGGGCTTTCCCCTGAACACCACCCCCTGCACTGCACCTGGCTGGGGCAGGCAGGGGCTGATGCTCAGTAGCCCACAGCTCTCTGCCAGCCAGTTGTGATTGGATTTTCCTGCAGGTTGCTCCTCACTGGCCACTTTGGTACATTTGTCTCAATGAGATTTTCCTGTTCTGAATGATTGATCTGGAGCAGCCAGCGCTGGATGAGCTGGGAAGGGTTGGACAAGGTTACATTGGTAGCTCTGAGCCTGCTTCTCGTGGGGCCAGCCCTGAGCAAATGGCCCCAGTGAGCCCTGCTACAGCACAGGGCTTGGGGACAGGCTCCAGCAAGCAGAGTCCCCAAATGCCTGTGCATGACCCCAGGACAGCCCTTCCCAATGTCCCAGCCAGCCCCTTAACTGTGCCTCAAGGACAGACCAGATCAATACTTCCCACTTCTCATCCATACAATCCCAGGAAGAGCTGGGGTCACAGGAGCAGGGAGATGGCAGCAGCAGCGCAGTTCCTGAGCAGGAGGGATTAATTTTCTGGGGTCTTTGTTCCCTTGCATCTCTCTTATCTATTGTGCTCCCTTCCTGGCTCTCCTCTCGCTGTGGGAGCACAGGCAGGGTGTTCCCTCCTTGTGGGATGGTGATGAAATGTTCAGCATCATGTGGAAAACCCTTCTCCCCGCAGCTCAGCCTTGGCTCTTGGCCAAGCTCCATTGAGGGATGACGTGGTTCTGCGGCTGGAGAGGGCAGGCACGGGTGGCCTTCAGGGGAGATTGGGACCCAAAGACAAGGGCACAAATGCCCACAATTCTTCCCAGACTGTGTGGACAGCAAGAGTGGGGCCTGATCAGGCTGGGATAAGTGAGGATGTTTTGGGAGGCTCATTCATGTTGGTTTGGGTGCCCTGGTTGGTGTCAGAGTTCGTGGTGTTGCCCTTGAGGATGCTGCCTCCAGCCCTAGGAGCACCCTGGACCCCAGCAGAGCTGTCTGAATCCACCCTGCCCTATTCCTTGGTTCCTCATGGGTGCACTGATGGAGGCAGCAAAAGCCAACACAGCTTTAAGCAAATCTTGGTGTGATTCCAAGCTGCCTGAACTCTCTTTTCTCTCTTTCTCTCCCCTGATGAAGGTGATCACCATTTTCACGCTGGTGGAGGTGGTGCTGACGGCAGATGGTGGCCCCCTCAAGTACAGTGCCCTGCTCAAGAGGCCAAGCTTGGACAAGTGAGAGCCCTGGCTGTGTGTGCTCCCCACTGCTGATGCTCCCTCATCTCCCAGGCCCTGCTCCAGCACCTGCTGGAGACAGAAGGGACCCACAAGGACTTTGGGATTTTGAGTCTTAAAACCATTGTGGTTTTATTTCTGGTTTGGATTTTAACTCTGCCTGGGAGCAGGGCTCAGGGCTTGAGCCTGCCCCAGGCAGAACATTTCTACTCTTGGGTATTTTTAGCATGATGCTTTCTTAATGTTTTTTTTAAGGCAGTGGTGTCTTATCTGCAACTTCAGTGCCCGTGGTGAGGGCTGAGAGAGGGGATATGTGTCCCCAGGAGCAGAGAGGGGCTGGCTCCACCATCCCAAGTGGGATGTGGATGCAGTGGGATGCAGCCATGGGGGATGCAGGAGGGTTTCTTGCAGGGTTGTGTGTCATGTAATAAAGTCGGTCAGCAGCTGTGTGGAGCTCGTGCAGGTTTTATTTTCTGCCCTCCATGTTCCCCCAGCTGGGGGATCCCAGCAGTAATTCACCTCTGGGGAGCCTCCTGCCTTCCTCTGCCTGCCACTTCCCAGGCATTATGGAATTTGGCCTCACTGCCTGTCCCAGCTCACATATGCTTGGCCAAAAGATGGGAGATGAGGGCAGGTGTTCCCAGCTCCTGATCCCGCAGGTTTTCCTTCAGTCTCTCTGACTTCTCCAGGAGTCCCTGTGTGTCTGCTCGAGTCCCTCACACTTTGGCCTGCAGCCTAACCCTGCTCAGGGACCCTATGGCACCACGTCCTTGCATCCAGCACCCCACTGACCAACTGACCTCTGCCATCTCCCACCACCTCTGCCTGCTCTCTGTCCCCATGTCCCCCACCCACACTGTGGGGATGTGCTGGGGGCGTGGGCTGCTCTGGTAGCCTCCACATCATCACAGGCAGTGGCTGTTGAAGGGATTGACATCTGGCAGGAAGGAATGGATCCGTTGTGCCAGGCAGGGAGGGAGCCCTGCATCACTCTGCCCCATCAGTGCTGACAGCCATGACCAGCACATCAGCCATCTGCAGGAGCCAGGAGCTGGCCAAACCTCGACTGCCTGGGTCAGGATGGGGGGTCAGGGCTGGGCACAGCAGACTTCCTGGAGCTGCTGAAGCCATCAATGACACCTGTAGTCCCCAGGACTTGTGTTCATGCAGCATCCTTCCAGATGGCCTGCTGCAGTCACGGGTGGATGTCACCTGATGGGGGTGACAGGGGGCTGTTCCCTGCCCACAGCAGGGGCCCTGCTGTGCAGTGTGCTGGCATGGGCTGCCCCAGGGCACGCAGTGTGTCAGGCACCAGCTGTCCCAGGAGCTGATGGGCAGGGTGTGACTGCTGGGACGGGGGACCAGAGGACACTGACACCAAAGCCAATATGTCCACTGCCTACCCCTCAGCCCAGTGTCCCCCTCCTCGGGTTTGTCTCAGGAGAAACCAGGCAAATCCAGCCTGGCCCAGCTCAGCCTGTCTGCAAAAACAGCCCTTTGCCCTGCACTCTCCCTCCCACTCCCCAGGGTCCCACCAGCAGCCGCCCCAAGGGAGCTGGGGCCCAGAGGTGCCCTGGTCCTCAGGGACAGGCTGGAGGTCCTGCCTTGCTGGAGGGGGGCAGGGATGGCCCCAGGGTGGGGCAAGGGCATTGGGAGGGCCCTGAGTGTGCTGGGAGATAGTCCATGAATGTTATCAGCCCATCGTCTCACGGGACAGGGAAGAGCCATAAAGGGCTGTCCCCTCACCCTGGACAAGGCAGCATTCCAGGAGGGAGCCCGGGTGGGCAGCATGGGGCAGCTGCTTTTCCCTGGAACCTGCCTTCTCCTCTGCTGCCTGGCCCAGCTCGCCGCTGCAGCCTCTGGAGACAGGGAGCATGCTGGACAGCGGGGTAAGAACCTCTGGTGGGGGATGCTGGGGCTGGTGTCACTTCCTTGGGGATCTCCAGGGACCATGTCACCTCCCCTTGGGATGCCAGCAAGCAGGAACCCTCACAGCCACCTCAGGGTGCTCTGAGACCACGACCTCTGAATGGGTTGGTCTCAGCTTTCCCCAGAGCAGGCCCTGCCCCCACCCCGTCCCTGCTGCTCCCAACCCCCATCCCTGACTTTGGATAAAGTGGCCCAACAGCTACAGCCAGCCATGGTTACCCAGCCATTGCACACTCGCTGTGGCTGACCCTCAGGCTCCTCATCCACTCTGCCAAGAGGCACAAGGATTTCCCTGCCAAGCTGTGCCTCAGTTTCCCTTCTGCAGGTAGTTTCTGAGCAATGCTGGTCTGCAAAAGACCATGCTGATCTCGGGGAGGCTTATAGCAGCTAAATTCACCTTGGGTAGAGATGGGCATGCTGGACCCCTGGGGGTGCACCTGGAGGCTCCCAGCTCTGCTCTCACCTCCAGATGCTGAGAAGACCCCGGGCTACTGGAATAAAGGTGCCAGGAAGAGGCTGGAGTTGGCCCTGGCCTTGCAGCCTGCAGCACAGCGGGCCAAAAACATCATCCTCTTCATGGGTGACGGTGAGTGCCCCGGGTCACTGCCAGGCCCTGCAGCTCCCAACAGCCAGGGGATGTGGCTGAGGAGAAGATGGGGCTGGGGCAAGCCCTCAGGCAGTGCCTGGGCAGGGCAGAGCTGTCCCTGGTCCTGCCCCCTGCCCGCCAGTGACTTGAACATGGCCACAGGCATGGGGCTGTCCACCATGTCAGCGGCTCGGATCTACAAGGGGCAGCTGGCCGGTGGCTCAGGCGAGGAGAGCGTCTTGGCCATGGAGACCTTTCCCCACACGGCCCTGGCCAAGGTGAGTGGGGCAGGGCTGGGGGGGACACTCCTGCTGCCCCTGCTTGAGACCCCACTGCACCTGTCCTGCTTCCAGACCTACACCATCGACCGGCAGGTGCCTGACAGCGCTGGCACGGGCACTGCCTACCTCTGTGGGGTGAAGGCCAATGCCAAGACTCTGGGGCTGAGCGGGGCAGCCGTCTATGGAAAATGCCACACCACCTTTGGCAATGAGGTGGACTCTGTCCTGCACCGGGCCAGGCTGGCGGGTACGGAGCAGCGGGAAACCCTGTCGGAAAGCCGGACATGGCCATCCGGTGCCGTGCAGGGCTGGATGGACTCCGTGTAAAACCCTTGCCCACGCTGCAGGCAAGTCTGTGGGCATCGTGACGACCACGCGGGTGCAGCACGCGTCCCCCGGGGCAGCGTACGCGCACTCGGCCAGCCGGGGCTGGTACGCTGACGCCAACATGCCCAAGGAGGCCCTGCGGGACGGCTGCAAGGACATCGCCTACCAGCTGGTGCACAACACCGACATCAACGTGAGCTGGGGAGCGGGAGCGGGAGGGAGGGGCCACAGGAGCACTGGGAGGGTCTGCTGAGCTCCCCGGCAGGTGATCCTGGGCGGCGGGAGGATGTACATGACCCCCAAGCACACTCCGGACCCCGAGTATCCAGAGGACCCGGATCAAAATGGCACCAGGAAGGACGGCCGGGACTTGATTGCTGAGTGGCTGAGTGCCAAGCAGGTAGCGTGCGGGGGAAGAGAAAATTCCACCCCGGGCACAGGGTGTGTGTCATTGGCACTGGCTGTGCTCTCGTTGGCAGGGTGCCCGCTATGTCTGGGACAAGAAGGGCCTGGATGCGGTCAGAGATGACTCTGTGAGCCATCTTATGGGTAGGAGCATCCCTGCCTGCACCACCGGCAATGCTTCCTCCTCCCCTTTCTTGAGGTGCCGTCAGGGGCACAAAGCAGCCCGGGCATGGACCCCCTCACCCTCCTCCCCCAGGTCTTTTCGAGCCCAAGGACATGAAGTATGAGCTGAACCGCAACACGTCCACAGACCCCTCCATCGTGGAGATGACGGAAAAGGCCATCCGCATCCTGCGCAGGAACCCCAATGGATTCTTCCTCTTTGTGGAAGATGAGTAGCTCCAGGCGGGCAGTGTGGCTGGGGCTGAGGTGGGATGTAGGTCCTGGGAGCAGGTAGCCATCCAAGGGGCCCAGGGAGAGGGTGACAGCCACATTCCCTGTGCAGGTGGCAGAATCGACCACGGCCACCACAGTGGCCGGGCCAAGCAGGCGCTGATGGAGGCTGTGATGCTGGACCGGGCAGTGGCACGGGCAGGAGAGCTCACCTCCCCTGCTGACACCCTGACCGTGGTGACGGCCGATCACTCCCATGTCTTCACTTTTGGGGGCAGCACACCACGTGGCAACTCCATCTTTGGTGGGTCCTGGAGAGGGGCTATGAATATCCCTCTTTCCACCTCACCCTGTTGCTCCCACGGGAGGCTGAGTTTGCCCAGGCAGGGAGCTGGGGAGGGATACCCAGGCACAGGGGGTGACAATGTCTTTCCCTGTGCCAGGGCTGGCCCCCAAGAAAGCCAAGGACAAGCGAGCCTACACCAGCATCCTCTATGGCAATGGTCCTGGCTACAGCATCCGTGACGGGGCCCGGCCAGCTGCCAGCCTCCCTGCTGCAGGTACCAGAATGCTGGGAATGTGGCAGAGCCACGGGGAGGCTGGGGACAGATTACCAATGAGTCTGCAGGGATTGGGTGGAGGCATAGGGTGTCTGGGGACAGCATCCCACAGCCATGGCCATGGATGCCACACAGAGTCCTGGTGCCACTGTGAGGCTCAGGAGTCGCCCCTCTGCAGAAATCACGCTGAAGCAGGAGTGATGGGAGCTGTCCCCCAGCCCCGGGACGTGTCAGTGAGCCAGGCCCCAGCCTCACTTCTCCTCTCCTCCTGCAGAGGACAAGGACTACAGGCAGCAGGCAGCTGTGCCCCTGGAGACAGAGACTCACAGTGGGGAAGACGTGGTGGTGCTGGCCCAGGGCCCCATGGCCCAGCTCTTCCACGGGGTGCAGGAGCAGCACTACATCGCCCATGCCATGGCCTACGCTGCCTGCCTCGAGCCCTACGCCACAGAGCCTGGGTGCAGGGCAGCCCGCAGGGCCTCCCATGGCACACGGTGCTGCCCGCAGGCCCTGCTCGTCCTCCTGGCCCTCTGCATGGCTGCCCTCACGGTGAGGGGCTGAGAGGCTCTGGCTGAGTGCTGCTGTGGGCAGGACCAAGGCACGCAATAAACACAGGTTGTTTGTCTCTATCCACCCTGCAAAGGCTCACAGTGGCTGTCACCTCCCGAGGTGCTGCCCTGGGCCTGCCTCCCCAGCTGGCTGTGGCTCCCGGTTCTCCCTGGACCTGCACTGGAGGCACCGGGGTGCAGGAGATGAGGAAATGCAGGTGACGGGAGGCAATGTCCTCCCCAGCTTTGCCTGGTTGGAGCACAGTACACAAGGGTTGGTCCATTCCTATCAAGGGCTGAGCAAGGAGCAGAGTTTTAGTCCACATCCATGGATTTATTGCTCATGAAAAGCAGGGAAGAGAGCAGGGTGCTCGGTGCACGAGTGGCCCCAGGTGCTCCCCATACCCACCGTTATCCAATGCTCAGAGCTCCCGCGCCAGCCTGGGACAGGGCTTTGCCCTGCCTGGCACCACAGCACCATGGCCAAGGCAGGAGCTCCTGCCAGCACTGCACTTCCTCCTGTCCCTGCATCTGTCTGTGCCCCAAGCCCATCTGTGCCCAGCAGGCACAGGGCCTTGTGCCAAAGAGGTGACACCAGCCCGGGCCGCGGCCTTTGCACTCGGCAGAGATGTGGTGACACACACCTCCACACACCCTGCTAGGGCTGATCCCTGTCCAAAGTCCCTCCCACATCTGCTGGATTTACAGACACTGCCAGCAGCGTTGGCCTGTCAGACCTCAGCATGCAGCTCCTGGCATCCCTCACCCTCTGCCTCTGCGCAGGGCTCAGCACTGCTGTCATTCCAGGTGGGGACAGGGACGGGGCCGGGTGCCTGGCTGGCTGCGGTGGGTGCCCAGGCAAGCAGGGTGTCAGCCTGGCTGGCCACGAGGGCTGGGGAGGGCAGCTGGGGCTGCCCAGCTGAACAAGAATTAACAGGGCTTAGTTACCCCTGCCCTTCTCAGGTTTTTGAACCAATGTTCCCCCAGGTTCTTGCTTGCTTCTGAGCTGGGGGCTGGTCTGGGAGAAGCGCCTGTATCCTCTATCAGCACTCCCTACCACGGATTTGGCTCTATCCCACTCACCAGATATCTCCCCATCATGTCTGGTTTTGCTGTCCCCCCTTGTTCCCTGCCCCAGGGCCCTGGGCCCAGGCAGTCGGTGCAAGCCTGCATGGTCTCTCCCCAGCCCAAATAGCTCCCAAACCACCCGGTCCAAGTGAGAGGAGGTTCCAGAATGGGAGTGCACAGGGAACAAGTATCCCTGGGGTCTGGGTACCCCTCAGGACTGCCCCAGGGATGCAGGCACTGGTGATCTGGGACTGATGGGTGTTTGCACCGTCCAGCGGAGGAGGAGAATCCATCCTTCTGGTACAAGCAGGCAGCTGCAGCCATCGATGCCTCCTTAAAACTCCAGCCCAGGACAAATGAAGCCAAAAATCTCATCCTTTTCCTTGGGGATGGTGAGTCCAGCTGGCACCCAACAAGCAGGCTGACATGGCCAGTACTCTGCTGAGTGGGATGTGTGCAGGGCACCTGGTCCACAGTGTGACCAGGACCCTCTCACGTCCCAGGATTCGGGGTCTCCACCATCACAGCCACCCGCATCCTCAAGGCACAGCAGCAGGGGAAGCTCGGGCCTGAGACCCCTCTTGCCCTGGATTCTTTCCCCTACATGGCTCTGTCGAAGGTAAATTCCAGCCTGTTGGAAAGTGGTGATTCTGGGCATGGGGCCATGGTTATCCTATATGTGCAGTGGCTCTGTCTAAGGTAAATTCCAGCCTGTTGGAAAGGGGCCAGTGGTAATCCTGGGCATGGGGCCAGGGTTGTCACAGGCATGGGGCTGCTGGCAGCCCAGGGCTGCATGTATCTTGTGCATGGGGTCGCTCCCCATCCCACATGTGCTCCTGGGGGCGTGAATGAGTGAGGCAGGGTGCTGCTGGGGGGACACCCCACTGGAGACTCCTGCCCTGAGTCCTTCTATCCCTGACAGACCTACAATGTGGATCGGCAAGTCCCTGACAGTGCAGGGACAGCCACAGCTTACCTCTGTGGTGTGAAGGGCAACTACCAGACAATAGGAGTGAGCGCAGCTGCCCGCCACTCAGAGTGCAGCACCACGGCCGGCAACGAGGTGATCTCAGTGATGAAGCGAGCCCGCAAAGCTGGTAAGGGGAGATGCAGGGCTGGGGACACCCCGTGGGACAAGAGGTGCCACACTGGGGGCTTCACCCCAGTGGGGATGCCATAGCTTGGCGGTGGGGACGCTGTGCTGCCCTTGGTGGGGCCTGATGAGCGGGGTTTGGCAGGGAAGGCGGTGGGCGTCGTGACCACAACGCGGGTGCAGCACGCGTCGCCCGCGGGAACCTATGCCCACGTGGTGAACCGGGACTGGTACGCGGACGCCAGCATGCCCCAGGAGGCGCGGCTGCAGGGCTGCACGGACATCGCCTGGCAGCTGGTCCACAACGTCGACATCAACGTGAGCGCCGTGCACGGGAGAAGGAGAGCAGGGACAGACCCCACTCAGGGCACCCCCACTAACTCTTCATCCACCTCGTCCCCTCCAGGTGATCCTGGGTGGTGGTCGGAAATACATGACCCCCGTGGGGACGCCGGACCCTGAGTACCCCGCCGACAGCCGGCAGAATGGGATACGTGAGGATGGGATAAACCTCATTGAGAAGTGGCTGGCGCCACGGCCGGTGCGTGAGGCATCAGGGACACGCCTCTGCCCACTGCCCCTGGCACAGGGCCAGGCACCCACTAACCCCCAGGGGGATTTGCCCACAGGGTGCCCGCTATGTCTGGAACAGGACAGAGATGCTGGCTGCTGCTGCCGACCCCAACGTGAATTATTTGATGGGTAACAAACAAGCCCTGTGCCAGAACCCAACAGGCACTGGGACACTCAGGCACTCATGTTGTCCCCAACACATTCACCCTCAGGTCTCTTTGAACCCGTGGACACCAAGTACAACCTGGTGCGTAACACCACCCTGGACCCGTCACTCACTGAGATGACAGAGGCGGCCATCACCATCCTGAGCAGGAACCCCAAAGGCTTCTACCTCTTTGTGGAAGATAAGTTGGGGCTCGTGCTCCTGGGGCCAGTGACAGGGCGCTGTAGGGTGGGGGTAGGAGATGTGTGTGCTGTCGGTTCCCAGCTCACAGTGGGTGCCCATCTGCAGGTGGCAGAATTGACCATGGCCACCACGATGGCGCAGCCCATAAGGCTCTGACAGAGGCAGTGGAGTTCGACACGGCCATCGAGCGGGCTGGCACCATGACAGACGAGGCTGAGACCCTCACCGTCATCACCGCTGACCACTCCCACGTCTTCGCCTTTGGGGGCTACACCCTGCGTGGCTCCTCCATCTTTGGTGGGGCTCTGCCCTGTCCTGGGTACTGCCTGTGGCACCCTGACTGTGGCCAGAGGGTTGATACGGATGTTCCTTGGTTGATCCTCCTCCTCATCCTCCTCCATTGCCCCTTCCACAGCTCTGGGCCAAAAGAAAACCACTGATGGCAAGAACTACACATCGATCCTCTATGGGAATGGGCCAGGATACCCACATGGTGAACGGCCCAATGTGGACCCAGAAAAAGCCAGTGAGGAAAAAGAAACCATGGCCTGGGTGGTGGGGTGGGGCTGGGGGGTGTCATTGCCTCCCTTCACTTCCTTCTCTCCCTTATCCAGTGCAGTATGAGTACCTGCCACAGGCAGCTGTGCCACTGCTGTCAGAGACCCATGGCGGTGAGGACGTAGCCATCCTGGCCAAGGGTCCCATGGCCCACCTCTTCCACGGGGTGCAGGAGCAGACCTACGTAGCCCATGCCATGGCCTACGCCGCCTGCATCGAGCCCTACACCGACTGCCGCCAGCGCAGCTCTGGCCCTACCACCCGCGCCACCCCCCTGGCCCTGCTGCTGCCTGCCCTCCTCCTGCCCCTCTTCCGCTGATCCCGTGTCCCTAGGCCACCCCACGGGACACACTCACCTTCCCTCCCTCCCTCCCCACGGTGTGGCACCTGCAGGCAGCTTTCTGAAGCATCCCTGGTCCGGATGCAGCAGCGCTGGGGACAGCGGATCCGGGGCAGTGTGGCGTTAAATAAACACACAGAGTGACACTGGTGGGACAGGCGTGCTCGTGGACTGGGGGTGCCTGTGCCGTGTGGGCAGGGCTGGGGGTGCTGCCCACTGCTCCCATCCCCTGGCCATGGCCCCTGGCAGCCACCCAGCATATCCAGTGCTTTATTGACCAGAAACAGCAGCCAAAGATACAGCAGTGTCCATGTGCCTGTGCTGCCAGGCAGGCTGGCATCGCCCAGCCCGGCTGCGCCGCTCTGCCCCACCTGGGCAGGGCTGGTGCATGGACAGGAGGGGCTAGCATGGGGAATGCCAGGGAGGGCACCGTGCAGGGGAGGCTTCTGGCATGGGGCAGCCCCTTGGAGCCACTGGAGTCCTTCCCCTGCCTTGACTGACTGGGATGGATGTGGTAGGGCTGGGTGAAGGGTTTGGGCTGGGTGGACAGAAAAGGGGGTACAGGGGTGCCCTTGTTCCTCCATGGGGAGTGACAACACCTCACTGCACAGGGCAGTGGATGGGAGGGGCATGGGCAGGAGGCATCTGCCCAACCCAAGTGTTTCTGCTGCCTACACCCCTGTGGAAGGTGTCTGCCTTTGGGGTAACACCCTGTGACACCCGAGGGTGCCCCCTTTACCTGGAGAATAGGAAAGGAGATGGGAAGTTGGGGAGTGGGCACAAAGTGTCATTTAGGCAGGGGAGGGGATGGAGGGTCCCAGCCTGCTGGAGGGGGATCAGCCTCACCACACTGAGCACTTGTGCACTGGGTTCATGGGCGAGTTCTTGGGGCAGTGGAAGACCCGTCCAAACTCCTCAAACTGTGAGACACTGCCCAGGACCCTGCCGGGAGAGGGAAGGACCTCAGAGCTTGGTACCCCCTGTCCCCTGCACTGCTGCCTCACACCCCACTCACAGCACGTGCTCACCCCAGCAGAACCCCACCCCTGCCCCATGGATATCACCCAAAATCTGCTGGCACCAGCACTCCAAAGGGTGCTCATCCCACTGTGCACAGCACTGACAGCTGTGGGGAAGGCTGGCACCCACCAAGCCCCCAGTCCCCCCATTTTGGGAGCAGCCAGTACCTGTAGTGCTCCGGGGCGTGCTTGTCTGTCAGCACCTGCAGGTAGATGGACTGGGATCTCCGCTTGATGCACCAGTTCTGCAGGGGAAAAAGGTTCCATGGACAAGCCACACGGGGCAGCCTGGATCCTGGCAACCACCAGGACACCATGGCCCTTCTGGCTGCTGGGGACTGAGGGCAGTGATGCCCTGATGGAATTTGTTATTGTAGGGTCTCCCAGGAGCCTGTGTACATGGTCTAAGTGGGCTGGGAGAACGTGGAATCATGTTTGCTGTTGTAGGATCTCGGGTTGACTGTAAGCTGCCTGGCTGCAGAATTTCCTAGAATTTTGGGATCCAGTGTATTGGTCACTGTGGAGCCTCTGAAAGCCATGAGGGACACATTAATTTATTATTGTAGGGTCCACAGGAACAACAGGACAGTGTGGGGTGCTCATTCAGGACTCTATACCCAAGCCCAGGACCTGCTGATGCAGCCGAGCCCAGCTCCTGGCCATTGGCCCTGGGTCTCCCAAGGCTCTCTCCCCATCCCTTTGGGCTGCTGGCCCCACACAAGGTGACCCTCCTGCCCCAACAGCTGTTACATGTGAGGAGCACAGGGGCTCACCTGGGCAAAGGCGATGAAGAAGAGCTGGTCGTGTGTGTATTTCATGTGGTGCAGGGGGTGCTCGGGGCCGTGCTCCCTCACCCACTTCTGGTAGGCCTGGAGAACAAGGGGTGCCCTCAGCATGGCCTGGCTACTCCCCAGACCCACCCTGGACCCACCCCCAAGGCCCCAGCCACCAGCAATTAGGATTGTGCTCAGTCCTGGCTGCAGGGACTGAGGAGGGTTTGGGGCGTCTCCTCCTACTCAACAGGGATGGCACAAGCAGCTGCCCATGGCTGTGACACCCAGGGTGGGGGGACACTTACGTAGTAGGCCAGTTTGAGCCCCCCCATGTCAGCGATGTTCTCCCCCAGTGTGTGTTTGCCATTCACCTGTCAAGAGAGGAGAAATGACAGCAGGAACAGAGGTGTCCCCATCCCCATGCTGCAGCCAATGCCCTGAGGAATTTCCAAGCTAAGGTGTGATGAATTGTTGGGTCTCAGGGCTGGGCAGGGCAGCGTCAGTTCTGCAGGCACCCAGCCCTAAGTGATGGGGCAGCAGGGACCCCACCGTGGGGCAGCTGTGCTGGGTGAGAGGGGGTCTCACCCTCTGGTTGTAGACAGTGAAGTTGTCGTAGAGGTTGACGATGCACTGCGCCTTCTTCAGGAACTTGCTGTACGACCGCTCCGTCCACCAGTGCACCAGGTTCCCGTGCCGGTCGTACTGTCCCCCTGCCAAGGCAACCGCCACCTCCAGGAGTCACAAGGGACCCAGACGTCCTGCCTGGCTGCCTCAGCCCATCCTCACATCCGGGCAGGATATAGGAGGGACACTCACCCCAGTCATCGTAGCCATGGGTCAGCTCGTGCCCAATGATGGTGCCAATCCCACCATAGTTCAGTGACCTGTTGGGTGGGGAACAGGGTGAGAGGGTGGAGAGCACGCTGCTGGCAGGGATGGGGGTGGCCCCATGACATGGCAACCCCCCAGCCATCCCCCAGCCCCACACTCACTGCGGGAACTCGGGGTCGTAGAGTGTGGGCTGCAGGATGCCAGCAGGGAACACTGAGGACACAGGAGAGCATTGTTGGGTGTCACCCTGCCCTGTACCCACCCACAGCATCACCCAGCACCACGGGACCCTGGGCCTTGTCCCCACCCCGCCTGGGGGCGGATCGGGGGCGGGCAGTGCTTACCCATCTGGTTCTTGTTGGGCAGGTAGTAGGCGTTCAGTGCCTGGGGAGGCAGCAGCCACCTGCAAGGACAGACAGCAGTGCTGGGCTGCACAGCACCGAGGGACATGGAAGTGCCATCCCTCTGCACAGCTGGGGAACAGGGGGGGCACTCCTGGCATCCCTGTGCCCTTCTGCCTACAGCCTGTAGGCTGTGTCCGGGCATGGGGACAGGGGACACTGGTGGCACCATGCTGGCCCCTCCATGTCCCCCCAGGGCAAGGGGATACCCACGCGGATTTATCCACCTCCTGCCGGATCTTCTTCACTGAGAGCCTGATGCTGAAGGCGATGCTGTTGAGGATGTTCTTGAAGTAGGTCTTCTCATCCACCTCAAACTGGGGGGGCACAGCTACATCAGGGGAGATGCCAGCCCCAAGAGTGCAGAGGGCAGGCCTCTGGTGTCCTCCCACCCCTCTGAGCCTTGGTGACTGTGGATGTGTCACAAGTGTGTTCTCATGTCCCATGCTGTGTGTCCACAGGGGCAGCTGCTCCTCTGTCAGCTCCATGAGGTCCCTGGACCACACCAGCACCCCCAGCCCTTGCCAAGGATGGGGCTGAGCTCTGGGAGCTGCAGTGTGGGGAAGGAGACACCAGCCCAGACCCCAGGGACTGTATGGCACTGCTGGTGTGAGGCACCCTGCCAGCAGTGAGCACTGTGAGCACCAGGAGGGGGCTTGTTTTGGGGGGGCACCTCCACAGAGCCTGATGCAGATGTGGGGATCATCTTCCCCCACTATGTGCCCATGTCCTCACATGTTCCTGGGCTATCCCTTGCCTCATATTCCTTGTCGATGGCCTCTGGCTTCAGCAGGAAATCAGGGTACCCAATCATCACCATCATGTACCGGAGCTGTGGGCAAAATCAGTGGTGGGTTCAGGCCCCTATCCCATGTGCCTCTGCTCTGGTCATGGGGCCAAAGACAGGAGCGCATGCTAGGGGCCACTACCTTGGCCCTGGCTGCTCTCCGTGTCTCCTCATCCATCCAGTCCAGCTCATCCAGGCGCTGGTCGAGGATGTATTTGATGTCCTCCACCAGCTGCTGCACCTATGGTGGGTCACATGGTGCTGGCATGGCATCTCCACCCTCCATCACCAGCCAGACAGCCCTTGGTGGGGGCAGTAGGCACTTTGGCAAGGTGATGGGAGATCGTGGTGGCTTCCTGCCCACAGGCAGCATCACCTACCTTGGCTTTGCTGGCAGAGGAGAAGTGCTCCTCAACGAAGAGAGCTCCCAGGGCCATGCCAAAGTGCTTGTTGGCCTGGCTCAGGCAGATCTTCCCCGGCTCCAGCTGCTTCTCGTTGCCCTCCATCTCCTTGGAGAGCTCGTGGATGGCGTCGCGGAAGGGCGTGGAGAGGTGCTCGCTCAGCACCACCACGATGCGCCACAGCATGTAGTTGTGAAGGATCCTGTGACAGGGACGGGAGCGGCCTCAGCATGTCCCCAGGCACAGGGGAGGGTGGCAGCATGCGCCAGGATGGGGACACTCTGCTCAGGGACACATTGGGGAAACACTGGGGGCCAAAGGTTGGTGGGGGCACAGGGACATTCTGGCACCATGTCCCTCCCTGATGTGCCATGAGTCTGGTGACTCTGGCAGGAGTGGCTCAGCAGGTGTCCAGGCACGACCAGGATGCTGTGGTGCTCACAACAGCGCCTTTTCCCACAAGCTTTCCCAGATTTTCTGTGCCCAGCCTGGCCTTCCCCCACCAGGAGAAGGGTGATGGGGGGAGGTTCCAGGCACAACTGTCCTGTGCCCCCTGCCAGGCTGGGAAAGGTGCCAGGGGCACAGGGGTGCCAGCCCCCCTCACCTGCTGGGTGTCACACGGATGAGGTTGGACACCTTGTGCATGTAGTCGGTGGCCAGCAGCACTACCTCCTCCTCCTCCGAGAAGTTGTCATGGAAGATGCGGTCCAGCAAGCGCTTCCACTTGAGCTGCCAGGGCAGGCACTGTCAGGGGGCATGGGGACCCCCACTCCATGCCACCCTGGAGGGGAA